TTCCTCGACTCGTCCCGCGTCGCAGGCAGGTGTTTCACGCATCGGCGTGATGGCCCCCACGGCAAGGGCAAGGCGCCACTACGGATGGTGGCTGCAGCAAGCTCGGGCACGTGCGTCTGCCTGCCTCACTCACTTTCCTTCCCTCATTCGTTGTAGCAACGCAAAACACGAAAACGCTGTAATAACTGTGGAACAGTTATACGCGTCTTTTCGTGACTTCGGCATGACCTTCAATTGGCAAACTTCCAACATGCTGGAACCATGAATCCTACATAATTTTCCCGCTACGTTCCAGCGTTTATTCGTATGTGGTCGTTCCATAATGATCGTAATTAAAGGCTGCTCCCTTCCCCGACACTTTCGGTCGGGGTTGTTCGTGAGAGGCCCAGGACGAGGCCTTTATGACTGTCGAGCCGCGTGGGGCGGTGTCATGGGTGGAGTGATGTCAGCGCAAAATAGAAGCTTCATTGGAATCGTCGGAAGTAGAAGAAACGTGTCCATAAGCGTTCGTGCTCGGCTCATCGTAAGCCTGAATGAATTTGACGGGGAAAAATGAAAGGGCTTATATAGGAGCATCAGCAAAACAATACAAACCCCAAGTTCATATTTAATAAAACGAACCCAGTGGTCTGCATTTGGAATTCCCTTCCGTGCCATGCCCAAGCCCCGGCATGGAGGAGGTCGTAAATAGGCGCGCATGCAGAGTGACATCACGAGGATGTGCATAATAGGGGCACTCGGGGAAGCTTTCGGCTCACTCTTTCCCCAGTAGTCGAGGCAGAGGGGCATTTCCCCTCTCTCCCTCTTCGCTGTTCTCGCGCACTCAGTCTTCCTATGCGCTCTGCTTGCCTACTCAGTACCCTTTTACTATTCTAATGTAGCCGACGCGGCGAAAGTTTTACGATGTGTAGCCGATTCCTTCTCATCCATTGGTGTTCCCTGTATGATGCAAGAATTCTGGGGGCGGAATTCTTTGAACACCATGGGAGTGGTATCCGTCCTGGAGATTATATCATCGATGATTTCGTTCCAGCATTGAAGGGGAAATACCCTGACTTGCATTCATTGGCAATTCGGTGCTTCATCCGGAGACGGACATTCATGAGGATGAGGTTTCTGAATAAGAAAAATGCTGAAAGGCTATGCAGGGACAGAGAAAGACGTAGCGCATATTGTATTCTTGGTGGAGCTAGCACTGACACGTAGGTCCAAATTTACAGACAGAAAAGTAATTCACAGGGTGACGGGGAACTGAAAATCCTCATATCGGCATGTAAAAAGTGAAACCTTCCTCCTTGCTAAGAAAAATCCCTGTAGCTTATGGGGGTAGGCATCAACTTCTTCACCCCAACCATCCGTCTACTGTATATAAACACAGATTTTGTAATGTAAAAATTAAATGAGGTACAGGCAAAAGTAGTTTTGTCCGATAACTGGTAATTCCGGAAAAGAAACCTGGGCAATCTGAGCAGGGATTTTTCTTTTGAATTGGGATTTTGCTCTTCCATGGATGACTTACAAGGCGAGGAAACCTTCCTTCACAGCGAGGCGTTCATTGTCACTCTGGAATATCTTAACTCTCCCCACCATCCTCTTCACTCACCTAATATCCGAGTATCCTCTAATTTTTTCCAAAGTGACTGTACGAGTTCGGCTTTGGGTTCTTTAAATCTCACGTCTCGGGAAAGAAGCACCTATTGCTTAGGGGAAGGGTCTCCCTTTTTCCATGACGGGGCTTGCACTCTGAAAAAAAGCCTCATTTGTGTTTTGTTAAAACACAAATGAGGCTTTTTTTGGCTTTTTTTTCAAAAAAAATTTGAATTTAAATGCAAAACGTGTTTTGCATTTAAATTCAAGTTCTACAAAATGTACTCCAAACTCCGATGCAATTGCCTTGGCCAGGATTCGAACCTGGACTTTTGTTATTGCAATACATCGAACTAAGCACTGTACGGTCACGGCCACCTTGTTCGCCAAAGGGATCCCTCGAATAGCCTCATATCGTGCGTGAAGTTGAGCCGTCATGCATTCCAGGCAGCAGTTGCTGCCTGGGGCTCTTATAAGCGGCATAACAGATGAAGAGATGTAAGAGCAATCGAAACCCTCAAAAGAAATTCTGGAAAAGAAAATAACTTCTTCAACCACGTTTGACCTACGCGGTGCTGATCGTTTATGTCATTAGCAGTAATCCTTCGCCTCTCGTACGCGTGTTTGTTTGATTTATGCAATTCTCTAAACAAGATTTAAACAAGTTTTCTCAAGTGATCCCCGCTTTAGGGGCACCCATTGAAGGTTGGATGCGTCGTTGTCGCAGATGTCGTGGTCTTTATGGTGCGCCATCTGTTTTGCCGAGGAGATGAGGATGTCGAAGGTTCGAAGAGGCTGGCCCTTGTTTCCTCTCCTGAGGAAAAGTAGAGCGGCCAGTCGATGAATGAGCCTCTCATGCTTCGTTCCGTCTTCATAGAGCGAAACGACCGGTCGATCGTGGCCGTCGGTGCAAGGTTTCAGTGGTTTTCGAGGGCGAGAGGCCGTAAAAAGGCGCGATTCGATTAATTTTTAAACATTTTCTCTGTTTAATACATCAAAGCCTAAACACATACACCTGATATATGCAAATCCATGTTGAAATTCTTCTTCTCCAAAGGTTTTTCTGATATTCTCATACTACTAGTGCCTGATTCGCTAAACATCAAGGGAGATTGAGCCAATCGTGACTAGTGAGCTCGGTTTGTTCGATTTTGATGAAAAACAGAAATCAACCACATGAATATAAAACTTTGATGATTTTCCCATTGTCTTGAGTGAAAATGTGAGAATTTTTTATGGTACAACACATCCGGGAACTTTTGGTACATATCTCTTTCAGTCGGCGTTCAGAGAGGATGCAGACATGTTGTGGATGCAGAACATGGACATTTTTCAGTGATATCCTGCCCAGGTATCAGTGAAAGGTAAGGGCCCGAAGCAAGGGATGTAATAAGGGAAAACAATGAAGCTCGAGTTTTTGTTTTGTCTCATTATCCCATCCAGTGATTCTCACAGCCAACGATGGCTAACTCCGGGGACGACCATGTTGTTTCGTCCCTCCGAAACAACCAGTCTTGAAGGGGAGAGCCACGATAGGAATAAGTCTTCAATGGCGGAAAACGAATCTCGAAAACGAGAGTCTCCCCGGAATGTGATATGCCTTAATCTTAGGTATTGGAACTTGACTCAAAAAGCTTCTTGCTGAGTGGAACGATCTTTCTCTACTTTAATGACTAGAGTGTCGCAATGATATTTTTTTATTCAGAAACGCTGCAATCCCCTCACTGGACCTCCTTGTAAACTATTCTCATGAAATCTGCGCGATCCGATTTCACTTTGTCGCTGACGAAGACAAGCCATGATGGCCTGACCATCTACTGCAAAGTAGGGTAAAGCAACAAACATTTCGGCAGTTAAGTCGATCGAGCTTGATTATTCGCTTGTCCTATCTCAACCGTACAAGCTGGATTCTTTTTTTTCCAAAGAGGAGGTATAGGTGCTGCGAAAATGATACCCTACCTAGCCTTATGACTTCCGATATTGCCTCTAATGTGGACATCCGAACTGAGATAAGGAGAAACTATTTCTGACACTTTCACCTCAGTTCAGACACTCCAGTATTAAAGTATCAATGGGGTTTGAAGCTATTGATTACGGTGTAAATGAATGATTATGCTCTCTCAAAGTAGTGCATCTTTCTTCTATTTTTTATTATTGGACGATCATGATTGAGTGAATGAGTGACTGACTTTAATTGCAACAATGTTCTGGATTAGAACATAGGAGAGCCAATACATTTTACATAAAGTTTGGAAGTCAAGTTGCACATTCCCAGAGCGTTCGAGTGTCGTCGGATACCCCAATGATACATTTATGTTTTCCCACTTTGCGGAATTCATGAATGAATGTTTATTTATGATCTCCTCCAGGATAGATTATAGCAGTCTATCTGAATCGACATACGAAAACAACACGGAATGCATTCAAGACGGTGAGTATGTGATTGGAAGCATCGTGGAATACGCGTGCGACGAGTATTATAGTCTTAAAGGATCACGACGCCGGACTTGCATTGGAGGCGGACGATGGAACGGAAGAAATACATTTTGTGAGCCAGGTCAGCTACCATTCCTAGCTATTTTTTTAACAAGGAGATGCGTCGACTTCAGAACATTACCATAAAGCAGATTTATCCCGGAGATAGCTTGTGGGGGAAGAGGGCCACAGGGTTTGTCAGCAGGAGGAAAGCCATCCGCCATCGGAAAGTGGCCGTGGGTGGCTGCCATATATGACGTCACGAATAAGCTCCTCATTTGTGGAGGGGCTCTCATTCGAGAACAATGGGTTCTGACCGCTGCTCATTGCCTCACCGAAGGCCGTACCGCACGACGTCGGGATCAGAAAGACTTCCTCGTTTATCTGGGAAAATACTATCGTATTGATTCCCTGGATGATAGATTCGTGCAAAAGAGAGAGGTCTCCAATACCTTATATTGTTTTCGCACAGACATCATTCAGTGGCACAACGTGTTGATTTGGTTTCTTCCCAGGTGTCTACGATCATCCTTCATAAGGGCTATACCATGCATAACTTTGACTCAGACATTGCCCTGCTGAGACTAACTGAGCCGGTGGAGTTTACTAAAAGAGTGGAGTTGATATGTCTCCCGACAAATCAATATTTTTCGGTGGCAAACCTCGAGGATGGAAAAACAGGATTGGTGAGAAACTTCGCTTCTACTGCGCCCATTCCCATATGATGTGGGTTTCTGGTTATTTGCGTCTTTTGATGGCAGGTTGCTAGTTGGGGGGAAAATGTCTCGGATAAGCTGAGTGACAATTTGATGGAGATCGAAATTCCTGTTTTATCGAATGACAACTGTCACAAGAATACCATACATCTCACAGGTGAACCTGATACCACGCGAACCCTCAGCTATAACTCTTTCTGTGCTGGATTTCATGGAAATACTTCTTCCCAAGGTATGTTCTTGAAAAGGTAAATGTTTCTTTCGGAGATGTGTCACTTCAGATGTCAATTAAAACCTTTAGATCGCATTGTCTCCTCAAATTGCCATTTAATTTAATTTAAACTCTTGTCTTCCATGCAAGATTCACAGAGGACTAGATGGGCACGTTCGGCCAATGATTGGACCTCATTACATTCAATGAGACGCTCACTAAATGAGTCTCCTTAAGTGAAATGAGGTCCACTTATGACATTTTTGTTCAAATAGGTGACAAATACAAATGTTATCACCTATTAGAACAAAAATGTCATCTCCTTCCTGTCCTCGATGATGAAAAATCCCATTTCCCAATAATCAGATGTGGGAAACCTATCCAAAGGAAATGATGATGGTAGGATGCAGTTTTCTGCGTGGTTGGAGATATTCAACATAAATACGGATATAGAATTAATAATATTGAATTTAGGACATGGCACAGGGACGAAGACCTGGCTCATTCGCGCGTTCTCATTGTAATTCAGATGCCGAAGGGCTAACAGGAACTCTGCCTTCCCCTGCGTGACAAACATTTCAAATCCAAAATTTGCTATGAAAATGCGTATTTTGGAGGAAAATCTCCACAAAACGAACTCAGACTGTATCTTGTTCATATCGAACGGCTTGGAAATTTTCCCATTGCTCAGACAATTATTTTCTCAATTAACATCGGACTACCAAAGCGTAGTATACAGATACAAAGACGAAAAGAAGGACAGGACGGAAGCATAAATGCCCTCTTTCCTTTCAGGAAAGGAGGTCCGCCAAGAAAATGATAATCTAATATATATAGACGATCGTGACTAACTGACTGACGCTAATTCTAACCATGTTCTGGAAATGTTAGAAATCTGAAACTTGGTACACATGTACCTACTGGGATGCAGAGTTCAGAAAAAATCCGACTTTGGATGTACATGCCCTGGGGGTACAAATTTTGGAGGGGGAAAAGTTTTTCTTAAATATATATTGTGACAGATAAGGATGGCATTCAGAGAGCCAACGGATATCCTGGGTTCGATGGTGTAGTAGTAGCATCTCTAACTGGCAATCAGAAGGGCCAGGTTCAATTTCCGGCCATTCCGTGGCTCTCATGCGCTTTTTTTGCCTTCCATGTCCCGTTACTTATTCCCCCACTATAACATTATTTTTTCTTGAGTAAAACGGAGGGTCATGGAAAGCTGAAACCTGGCATGGACGAACTACCGAGACGATGAGTTCAAGAAAAATGTAAAATGGAAGTTCCATGCCCTGTGGGAGCATAGTCTTCAGGGCCGACGTTTTCATGTAATTATTTTTTGCCCTGGCTTATTGGGATGGTGTGGAAAGATGAAACTTGGTATTGGGTTGGAAAGAAAGTCTTGCAACACTTTCTAAAACTATTTATACAATTTTTCAAGTGAATGATAGGCGGGGGGTTGTATTTGTATATGCTGGAATGTTCTCGAAGCTTAAATCCGACTTTGGAGGTACATGCCCTGGGGGTACAGATTTTTTTTTGGGGGGGGGGAAATTTTTAAAGATATATATTACAACGGATTAGGATGGCATTGAGAGGGAAGACCGGATGAGCTGGGTTCGGTGGTATAGTGGTACCACACTTGACCGGCAATCAAGAGGCTCGGGATCAATTCCCGGCCGTTCCTTGCCATGCTTTCAGCCTCGCATTTCATCAAGTCGCTTTTCTCATTCCCCCTCCGTAACATGATTTTTGCTTTCGTCAAATGAAGGGACATGGAAAGCCGAATCTTAGCATGAACATGCCTACCAAGACGATGAGTTCAGGAAAAATATAAAATTTAAGGTCAAAGCGCTGCGGGGGCGTATTTTTAGGGGCCGAAGTTTTCAGGTAATTTTTTTGCCTTGGCGTATGAAACTGGTGTGGAAAGATAAAACTCGGTATAGAACTACGTATTGGAATGCTGCGTGCAGAAAAATTTAGACTTTGTCCCGGGGGCAAAAATTTCAAAGGGAGATGTTTTCAAATCATTTTTTGCCTCAGTTAAACTGATGAACATGGAAAGCTGAAACTTTGCATGGATGTGACCACTCAGACAAGGAGTTAAAGGAAAATGTTAAGCCTCGATACATCCCCTGGGGGAATTTTTTCGAGGGGCGATGTTTAAAAAAATTATCGTGGCGAATTNATTAGATTATCATTTTCTTGGCGGACCTCCTTTCCTGAAAGGAAAGAGGGCATTTATGCTTCCGTCCTGTCCTTCTTTTCGTCTTTGTATCTGTATACTACGCTTTGGTAGTCCGATGTTAATTGAGTTGAGGGAATATTCAGCTTTCATTGTGCATCCCCTCCGAGCATAGCTTTTGGGTGTGTCGGCTTTTCCAAACATGTTTTTTCATCAGCGAAAAGGGCATAATGTTGAAACTTTTTTCGCATGTAGTTCTCTGAGGATTAATTTTGGAAATAAACGTACTTTTCAGTTAAAACGCCTGAGGGCACATATATTGCAAATTGCGTATTTTATCGATCCAGCAAAACAGAGTTCGCTAAACAGTTTAAACTTGGCAAAGAAGAACCTGATGGATTGCTGAGTAGAGAAAAAATCTACTTTCATTATGTATATAGGATCGTGAGTAGCTGACTGACATAAGTAGCTATTCGCATGCTGAGTGCAAGAAAAATTCTACTCTAGTGATACATGCCACAGGTGCACACCTTTTCCGGGAACATATTTTCAAATATTTCTCTTTGCTTCAATCAAATGGAGACACAAGGAAAGGTGAAACTTGGCAATAACGTGACAGGTGACACACCGAGGTCAGGAAAAATGTTAAAGTTTCTAAATATTGGAATTCTGGTGGGATATTTCTTGAGAACGTTATGGTTTCAAAGTATGTTTAATATCCTAGCGAATCGGGCAGAAATAGAAAAGTAGCAGCTGGCGCACGCGTAACGGACGTAATGTTGATTTAAGGAAAAATTCAAATTTTGCTGTGCGTCTCCTCTGACCACAGCTTTTGGGTGGGTCGCCTTTTCAAATATATTTTTTTATCGCCAGTAAAAAGGGGAAATGTACAAGACTGAAAGGGGGCGGTATGGAATTCCCTGAGTCTACATTTCAGAAGAAAAAAAATTCGTTAAAACCTATCAGGGCATTTTTTAAGTCCCATTTTCTTGATTTATTTTTTGATCCAATAAAACGGAGACAGAAAATTTAAATTTCTTCAGACTATTTGATGGCAGAGTACAGGAAAAATCCTAATTTTTGAAATATGCCCCCTTAGCGTAGATTATAGGAGGGAAGTATTGCAATATTTATTCTCCGCCCTTACAAAAAGGGACACATGAAAAGATTTCAAGTTAGGCACACATAGAATCATGGAAGTAATGATTTTTATCAAAATCAAGACTTTCGTCCCTATATGTCACGTACTTCAATGGGGACGTACTTTAAATACGCGTTTGCCATATCGCAAAGAATAAATGAATGAATCACTATCGAAGGTGATGGAGCGCCGAAGTCGCGACCATAGCGAGTTTGTTTGTCCGAAAGGCAAACAAACTTGCTAGTAACTATTATACAGGGTGGCGCAAAAAAAACGGTCCAATTTTTAAACTGGTCTAGTTTTTTATTGGTAATTTTTAAACTATTGAAGCTAGCAGGTTCAAAAAAAATCAAGTGAAAGTCCAATCCAAGCCCTTTCCAAATATGTATGGTTTAATGTCCATGGGTGCCATGGAATGGCTGTCATGGCCAATTGAAAAAATTATACCCCCAAAGAAGTAGTAAAATGATGGGAAAATGATTTTTCCACCTCAACTAACCTTTATTTATTCAAGAAATGTTCAATGTGTCCTCCTTTCTGGTCCACCACTACTTCCAGTCTCTCTCTCCACATCAAAATTGCCTTGGCAATCTTACAATAATTGGACTTTTAGTCCAATTGTTTCACCCAACAAATGAGCAAATAAACATTTGGAAACATGGTAAGTGTAAGCTGTAAGTGTAAGCGTATGTAACGGTAAGCTTTAATAGTTCCTGTTCTAGACCAGTTTAAAAAGTGGACCGGTTTTTTTTGCGCCACACTGTATATAGACGATCATGACTGTCTGACTAACTGAAGCTAATTCTAACCATATTCTAGAGAAGTAAGAAATCTGAAGTTTGGTTTATGCGTACCTTTTTTGATGCAGAATTTAGAAAAAATCCGACTTAGGAGGTGCATGGCCTGGGGGCACAAATTTCAGGGGGATGTTTTAAAATATATATTTTTGCTTCAGTGAAACACATGAACAAGAAAAGCTGAAACTTGGCATGGACCTACTGAGGCATAAAGTTCAGGGAAAATGTCAAATTTCACATGCATGCCCTGGGGGCACACTTTTGGGGAGGTGACGTTTTCAAAAAAAAATTTGAGTTCTACCGATTTGGCCAGAGATAGACATGTGAAATTGGATATATAAGTATCTATTGGGATGATGAGTTGAAAAAATATTCCGACTTTGGAGGTAAATGCCATATGGGCAAAAATTTCAGGGGGAGATGTTTTCAAATATTTTCTTGCTGGATGGAAAGCTGAAACGTGACATGGAGTACCTATTGAGACTCAGGTCCTAGTTTGATTGAGTTCAGGAAAAATGTCAAGTTTTGGATACATGCCCTGGAGGCATATTTTTGGGATGCGGCGTTTTCGAATAATTTTTTTGTCCAATGAATTGTACAGATATAGAAATATGAAACTCGGCACAGCAATAACTGGGGTGATGGTGAGTTCAGAAAAAAATCCAGTTTTGTGGCGCATACCACTAGGGCATAGCTTTTGGCTTCATCGGCTTTTCCAAAGATATTTTGGCACCAGCAAAAAGAGGAAACGGATAAGGATGAAACTTGCCATGCACGTTGTTCTCCGAGTACTGCTTTAAGTAAAAATGTTAATTTTTAGTAAACCCCCTGAGGGCATTTTTTTCTCCAAAATACACATTTTCCGGAAACTTTTCTGATTCAATGAAGGAAAGAACTAAAGAAAGTTGAGACTTGGACCATAAGTACCTGCTCGATTTCCAAGTGAATATCTTATTTTTCAAATAAGACCCCTCAGGACCGATTATGAAGGGATTTGAAGCACAATAAATAATTTGCGCAATTGATGGAAATATGGGTTCGTTCTCTCTCGGCACACATTTCGACAGGCACATACTTTTTATACGTTTTTGCCACTTTGAAAAAAAAAAGAATAAATCACTACCCTGGACAATGGAACGCCAAAGGTGCGACCATAGTTTGTTTAATATCCGAGACTGCCAAAGCGTTTGCGCCTTTTTGACAGTAAGCATTATTTCAAAATGAAGAGGGAAGGGAGAAAAAGACCTTACTGCCTTATCTTTATTCAATGACTTACATTTGGATGAAGTAATCGACTAATTTTTTTAAAACGAAATTTGACTTTCCCTCTGCTTAATTCTAACGCCACCACTCAGCGGTAAGGTCCATTGCATTTGGAAGAGGAGTGACCCTAAATGACATGTCCTACTAGAAGAGCTGAAGAAATACGAATATGATTTCGCTGTTCAATTTTGGTGCATTTCTTCATTGCTAACACCATCATCTAATCTATCATACTTGTCCTTTCTCATAGCAAAAGATAAGATTAATACATGCTATTATCGAAGCCAAATGATAGCACGTACTCTCCAAAGCATTTTCAAGCGAATGGAAAGAGAAGAATTAAAAAAAAATCCCACCTTTACGTTTCCCCCCCCCTCGTATTCAAGAAAATATATTGTATTAATATATTAACATGTTTATTTATATATGTGCTCTACTAATTAAAATTTCCTAGGTGAATGGTAACATATTTGACTAGAGCAAATAAAATGTCTATCCACATATTTTTGTACAAACTGCATGCATTCACGGATATGGAGATTATGGAGAGCACAAGCACTTAATTACATAATATCGTGAAAATTGTGTACCAGTAGCAACAGAAATTGCACAGGGGCCTTACGGGGACCAGCCACAGTTGCATGTTTTCTATATTGCCCATACTTTGGGGGATATAAATAGGACTATCGATGGCAGGTCAGTTTATTCAACGATCAGGAAGCTGATAATTCCGCAAACTTGAAGAAAGATTTAAATTTCACTACACCAAAGGGCGCAATTATTCGGATAATTGGGAGAATACCTTATGAGACACGCGTTGGGCCACACGGATTAAATGCATTCTGGACAGTGAAGAAGCACATGTTGAATGATTGCTGTGAATTATTAGATATTAAGTCAGGCACTTTTCATTAGGATGTGTGACATCTATGGTTCCTTCGAAGCATTGTCACCATAACACACGTTTCCAATTTCAGCCTCCTTTGACCTGCTGTTTTTTAAATATTATGTACAAGTGTAAAAAATCTCTTTAAACCTGTAATCTCAGAGCTCATTTGAAACATTGAGCAACAGTGTTGAGCCGACTGGGTCATGTCGAAGCAGAGATTCCAATCAACTGTAGAAAACGAGAATCGCAAACATTAGTTTATTTCAAAAGTGATAAATTCTCGACGTAAATATCGATGAAATTGATGAAATTTCTGATATACAGATTTCCAAGCTGCATGTCTTGGGGATTCAGGCAGTCCCATGGTCTTCTATACCCATGCCTTGAAGCAGTGGCAGATCGAAGGAATCGTGAGTCACTTTTTCAACGATGCACCTTGCTCCATGAGGCGCCCAGGCCAATATACCATTTTCACCAAAGTCAATCGGTCAGGTCGAATTTCATTTTTCCACTTTTTCCTTTTATTTGGCCATGGCTTTCCTTGCCGTAGTGAATTACCTACTTAAACTCGTTCAACTCTCTCTATTATATCCTTTCAGGTTCATAGAGTGGATCAATACGAAAATTGAGGAAACACCTTCATTCACTCCACATGTGCCACCATGCCCATCCAGCCATATGTGCCTTCTTCGCTCATATGTAACCCTTTGCGATCCAGGAACTGAAATATCAAACACATCGTGCCCAGGAAATAAAGTGTGTTGTAGAGTCACAACAGTCTCAACGACGTTCCAACCATCAGAATCCGAAGGTGACTTCCCTAATTGCATTCTTTCAATTGGTCTCTGTATGGGTTCCCAACTTTCCTTGATATTCCAAGCGAAGTGTTGAATGAATTTTCGAAGTTTTTTTCAATGCTCTGGATACCTTCGTTCTTGTTATCTAAAACAATAAAACTTATACTGCGGTACAACGGAGGTACCCAGAGTCACGGATAGGGAGCATTGGGACAACTCTGTCCGAGCCTCCATGGCATAGAATTGCAGGATTCTAATTGTGTTCTCCACTGACGCCATTTTTACTCCACCACTTTGCTTTGCTGGCCACAAATGCAATCGAGCAATTGAGCAAAGTTCAACATAACCTTCTTAGCTTTGGACATGAACAAGAAAAATATAGTTGATGAGGGAAGTGGCACGACTAGATGGCCCAAAGAATGTTGTAAAATTTCAGTTGAAATGACAGAAAGAACCGAAATCTGGGAAGACATTGGCTTAATTCATTTTTGTGCTTTCATACACCTGGTCTTGTAATTTCATGCTAAGGCTAAGAAACGTCCAAAACATCTGGAAGGCGAAGAGTGGATGCAATTTCAGTAAGCACATTCTCGTTCCTCGTAAATTTGTAGCGTTCAGTTTATTCACCCCCTTTCCACTGGACTCAAAATGGCAAACTCCTATTGAACTCCTATATATCGGCTCAATATGCGAGGAATATGAGGGTGAAACCATATCAATATGCGGGGAAAGTTTGCGGGATGGAGAGGGAATTTAAATTTTATTTTTTCATCATTAAATATTTAAAGGATGAGCGTTTTTAGATCCGAACTTGTCGATTGCGTCACAGTTGAGGTTGAGGCTGGTGGTAACGTCACTTCCATTGGCGGAGTCCTCCGGTTTCTGACGATAATACTATCATACTTTGCTGCTGCATGAAAACGTCAGTAATGAGACTTTTTCAGTATTTAATAAAAATGTATTTGATGCGCTGCAATGCATGGAAGGGGGGAGTGGGTTTACTCATGACAGTGTCGATGTAGTAGATATTCAACTTCTCCAGTCAAGAACGATACGAAAATTACTCGTGATTTCCGGGAGCGGCTACATCGAATTTGCAAGTATGAAATGTTTGACCAGATTGCATTTTCGCGCGCAGATGTGAACGAATGCGAGGAGGCGAACCTGTGCGGGGCCCACGCGCAGTGCGTGAGCCAGCCGGGCTCGTATGCGTGCAAGTGCGAGACGGGATTCTTCGGGGACCCGCCCAATCACCCGTGCAAAGGCAAGCCTTTATTCCATCGCTTTTTTCGCTCAGTAACTCCCGTAGTAGCCCGCTTCTGCCACGCTCGCAGGGTCACACGCTCATACGGTCACACGCGTTGGCTGTCGTAGATGTAGATGAGTGCCTGAGTCTGCCGCATCCGTGTGATGCGTCACAGGGATGCGGCAGTTGCGGGATGCTTCAATACCCCTGACGGCGTCTACAGTGAATGCCGAAAACCCTTTTGTCGGGGACACTACCGTCACTTGCACGTGTAACTCCAAACCAAATCCGCCTAACAACGCCTTGCCCACTTCAACCCTTTCGACTCTCTTGTCTGATCCGGAATGCACAATGACCCTATCTCTAACCTAAAGCCAAACTTGGATTACAGCAGCTACTGTAGAAGGAAATGCAACATGAACGTTAAACTAAAATAGGAAACTTGATGGGAACATTCATTACCAGCTACTTCATTGTCAATATATATGAATAACTGAAGCTAAGATGACTTCAAACTTTTATATTTTTTCATTAGCCAAATGCGTCATAATTATTTTTTTTTTTTTATACTGAAGAGACCTCCCTTATTACATTCTTTCAGATTGTCGATGTATGGGTTCCCAACTTTCCGTGACATACTAAACTAGGTGTCGAACGAATTTCCGAACTTTTTCCGGATACTGTAGATACTTTCGTTCTTTTTATTTAAGACAAGAAACTTTAAAATGTGCTCTAATGGAGGCACCCATAGTCCTGGAGAGAGAAAGCATTAGGACAACTCCTACGGAGCATCCATGGCATGGAATTCGAGGATTCGATTCATGGGTTCCACAGACGCCATTTCTACCCCACCGCTTTACTGTCCTGCCGCCAGTTGCAATGGAGTATTTGAGCACACATCAATATAGCTTTCCTAGTTTTGGGCATGAAGAAGAAAAATATAATTGATAAGGGAGGTGGAGCAGCAAAGTTGGAAAATTTCAGAAATATTATTATTATGGCAAGCATTTTGTAGATGTTCAGCTGAAATGATAGAAAGAAGCAAAATCTGGGAAGATATTTGCTTAATTCATTTTAGTAATTTCATACACCTTGGCTTGTAATTTCATGCTAAGTAGACACGTCCAAAACATTTGGAGGCCGATAAGTGGATGCCATTCTCTTACACTATAATTCCTCAACCAATTTTATGAATTCAGTTTTCTTCCGATCGCTTCACTGGAGTCCAAAAGGCAAACACCTATTGATCAAAGTTCATGCTGATGTCCATAAGTATGATGCTGTAATGTTACATCCTCTTCATCCTTGTTTTTCTCTCCCGCCAGGATTTCAACTTCTGCATCTCGGCCATTTTCTATATGAAGTGAAAAAACACTCAAATCTCTGTACATTATTCCAATACGAGGTAGGACTTCTGGAACAAAGTAGTATACTCACAACTTCTAAGCCTTCTGATTTTGGAATGATTGTATTGACCTATGTTCACCTATGTTGCAGCTATTCATGCTAATTTTTCCATTCTAATGAATTTCTTATACTAACAGTAATATCTTATCTTTTTACTATTTCAGTTCTGCTTGTTTAAAAATATTTTCAGTGCGTTTTCGTTCAAACGTTTCAGGACACCATTCCTTCCATTCATGAAAAAATTCAGATTTTTCCAACAATAAAAAATGCAAATACAGTGGATTCCGCTTTATTGGGCAATATATTATTGTTACAGCCGGTTTATCGAGCGTCTTGTTCGGAACGGTACCATTTCTATGTGGTCGGACCATTATTGATGTCACTAACGGAGAAGCCTACGTCACCAACCAGGAAAATGCAACGAGCTTCGCAGAACACGATGACTTCGAGGGTGATATAATCTCGGACGTCGTTGTCGAGAGGCCTTGTTAAGGGACTGTCGCAGACGAGTAGCCTGTTACTAAGGTGACTCGCGTGAGAGGCCAAGTAATAGACATTCGTGTCTCGGTTTCGTACTATATTATAAGTTCGCTTTAGTGTGGCAGCAGCTTAATTGGGCCTAATTGACATGGAACCAACTTGTCCCAAATTTGCTATGAAAATGTGCATTTTCGTACAAAATCTCCACAAACGATCTCAGCCTGCATCTTATTCATATCTAATGCCTTGGAAATTTTCGCATTGCTCGGGCGATTTTTTTCTAATTATCATCGTACTCCCAATGTGTGACATACAGATACAAAGACGAACACACGGCCACTTGGCATTGTTGCTTTAGAGAAGCTTTTTCGGGTATATAACAGGTAACTATAGGCAAATTTCTTGATTCTAAATTTTTGCTTTTGCGCAAGTAAAATACATTCGTGTCTCACTTTCTTATTATACTGTGAGGTAAGTTCGCTTTAGTGGGCAGCCGCTTAATTTGGCCAATTTCACCTGAAACCAACGTCTCCCAATGAAGTGGGATCTACTGTATTGAGAATCTGCAGTCTCCAGGAGGACACACTTTAAGTGCTTGCATTTTTCATAACTATTATTCATGGCTTTTTGTGCAAACAATTCAGACATCGATGAATGTGCGGCCTTGGTCAAACCATGCAGCAGGAACGCGGTGTGCCAAAACGCCGTCCCGGGCTACACATGCGCATGCAAACAAGGATTCGACCCGGCACCCGATCCCACCATCGCCTGTAAACAGGTGCCCGATTGCCTTGTATATTGAGACATGTCTTAAAACTTAAGATTAAAATATGAAAGCCTAACGCCATTATTTACAATTTATTATTTTATTTCATTAGTTTTTGCTGTAATATTTCATTATTGATTTATTTACTTTCATTATTACTTGTTATTGATTTGACATCTTTTGAAAAAAAAGCTTCACCTTTTTCAAAGTACATTTTAAAACAAATTCGTCATTTTTTCTGTGTGGTAGATCTCTGTGTGGACAATCTGCACGAGCAATTTCAACTGCGTGAACAACGCAGAGTGCGTGGACGGGACATGTCGCTGTCGAGGCGGCTTCCTCACCCATGGAGCCACCTGCATAGGTATCCCCTTCCTTTCCTTTCTCCACGCACACACGTTAGGCTTGGCTAATGGAGCCAAGATCACAAAGCATACCGATGTGACTGGGCTCAATATGCGAAGTAAGTTCGCGAGATGGGAATGGAAATTTAAATTTTTATTTTCTTGATTTTACGTTATTTATTAAATATTTAAAAGTAGAGGGCAATCAGATTCAATCTGGTCGATGGCATCACCTTTGAGATTAAGGCCGGTGGTGACGTCACTTCCATTGGTGGGGTCGTCCAGGTTCAAATTTCCATTTCACGTTGAGACTGGATGTATCCATCATTTATGACACTTTTTCATCGTTGAATCAAATTGATTTGATGCGCTGGAATGCATAGCTGGTGGTTATTCCTGACAGTCTCGATGGAGTTATGAATAATTCATTTGGCACTTCTTGTGACTGTGCAGTAGTGCACAGGTAGCTACCCAACTTCTCGAGTCGAGTTCGACATGAACATTTTTTTTTCGGGATAGGCGAGACCGAATTTGCAAGGATGAAATGTTTCACCCGATTGCATTTTCGCGCGCAGATGTGAACGAATGCGAGGAGCCGAACGTGTGCGGGGTCCACGCCCTCTGCGTGAACCAGCCGGGCTCGTACGCGTGCAAGTGCGAGACGGGATTCCTCGGTAACCCGCCCAATCATCCGTGCGCAGGCAAGTCTTTTTTCATTCTCTTTTTTTTTGTCACTAACGCTTGTAGTAGCCCGCTTCTGCCACGCTCAAACGCTCACACGCGCTGGCGCGTAGACGCCGATTAGCACTTGAGTATGGCGCATCCCTATGGAATAAATTAGAAATGTTACAATCTTCCTGACGGCGACAAAAGTGAATACTCCAGTCCCCCTTGTCGGGTACACTTGCATATGGGTCATTCCACGTCAAATCGACCACCCCCAATTTGGACAAAAAAGCCATGCATGTAGTGAAATAGATTTAAAGAGATCAATTTCAGCAAATTGTTATATCTTCCACCAATCTCCTGATATATGCATTAGGCTGGCGCTAATTTTTGGCTCCCTGTGTCCATACTAGCGAGTTTGTTTACCCTTCGGGTAAAGAAACTCGCATTGGTCGCGCCTTCGGCGCTACATTACCTTGGATATTGATTAATTCTTTAATTTTTTTTCGAAATGGGAAACACGTATTTCAAGTATGTGCCCATGGAAATACGTGATATATGGGGTTGAAAGACTTGAGTTTTATTGTTTTCTTATTATTTATTTATATTATTATTTAATTGATTCTTTGGGTGCCTAACTTTAAATCTTTTCTTGTGTCCCTTTTGGTAAGGGTGGAGAATACATTTTGAAAACTTCCCTCTAATAATCTACGCTAAGGAGACATATTTCAAAAGTAGGATTTTTCCTCTACTCAGCCATTAAACAGGTACTTCTGAGGGACGTTTAAATATTCTGTCTCTGATTCGTTGGATGCAAAGAAATAATTCAGGAACGTGGGACTGAAAAGAAAAGAGCCCTGATGGGTTTTAGCCCCAAATTTTTTTTCTTCTGAAATGGAGACTCTGGGAACTACATGCCCCCCAGTTTCAGCCTTACACGTTTCTTGAGTGTCCCCTTTTTGAATTACCGTCAGTCAGTCACAATTGTCTGAATTAGAAAAGTATGATTTTTTCTTTACGCAACTATCCATAAGGTACTTATTTGATAGGTATTTTAACTATCATGCGCCCTCCGTTTTGTTGGATCATAAAATTCTTAAAAATACGCCTTTTGCAAATAATGTTCCTTAAGCCGTTTTAACCGAAATGTACAATTCTTTTTCTACTGAAATCCGTCCTCAGTGGACTCCATGCCCATAACCTTTTAATATTATACGTTTGCACTATTTGCTGGTGAAAAAACATGTTTAGAATAGCCGACCCACCCAAAAGCTATGCCCGGAGGGGATGCACCATGAAAGCTGATTATTCCCTAAGCTCAGTAATATCATGTCACCTCTATGTGTAAAAAAGTTTCACCTTTCAATTTCTGTTCAATTTGCCACTGAAAAACTTTTTTTTTTAAAACATCGCACCTCGAAAAAATTCCCTTTGGGATGATTTGAGACTTAACATTCATGTTTAACTCCTCTCAGTAGTCACATTCATGGAAAGTCTCAGCTTTCCTTGTCTTTCAGTTTAATCGATGAAAGTAAATGAGTTGGAAACAAATCCCTTTGAAATATGTGCCCCAAAGGCATTTACTTCCAAAGACTGAAGTTTTCTGCAACATCCCACTTGATAGCTATGTAGCAAAGTTTCATCTTTCCACACTATATCAATACGCCAGGACATAAAAAATACTTGAAAATGTATGCCCCCAAAAAAATCACCCAAAGGCATGGATATAAAATTTTGAATTTTTCCTGAATTCATCGTCTTGGTAGACTCCTCCACACCAGGTTTCAGCTTTCCAAGTCTCTCCGTTTTATTCAAGCATAAATAATGATATGGAAGTGGAATGAGTGACGGGGTATGGAAAGAAATAAAGTGAAAAGAAAGCCATTGAAAGAGCGGGAATTGAACCCCAACATACCAGAATGCCATTCAGATATGCTACTACAATACCTCAGAACCAAAGACATCGAGTTAATTCTCTGAATGCCATTCTCATGTCACAAAATATATTGAAGAAAAACGTTTCCCTCCAAAATTTGTACCCCAGGCATTTACCTTCAAAGTCGGATTTTTTTCTGAACTCTGCATCACAAAAGGTACATGTGTACCAAGTTTCAAATCTCTAATATGTCTAGAACATGGTTAGAATTAGCGTCAGTCAGTCACGATCGTCTATATACAGTACTAGCGAGTTTGCTTGCCCGAAGGGCAAACAAACTCGCTATGGTTGCGCCTTCGGCGCTCCACTACCTTTGTTCGTGATTAATTCATTCATTTTCTACGAAATAAGAAAAATGGAAAAAAATGTTTTACATTTTTCCTGAACTCCTCGTCTTGGTAGTCACATTCATACGAAGCCCCAGTTTTCAATGTCCATTGGTTTAACTAAAAATGCAAAGTAATTATGTGAAAACATCTCCCTTTGAAATTTGTACCCCCCGGGCATGTACCTCCAAAGTCAGTTTTCTTACCAAACTGTCCATCCCAAAAACTACATGTGTACCAAGTTTCAGATTTCTAACTTCTGTAGAACATAGTTAGAATTAGCGTCAGTCAGTCACGATCGTCTGTATACGTACAGGGTGGTGCATAAAAAAACCGGTCCATTTTTTAAACTGGTCTAGAACAGGAACTATTGAAGCAAGAAGGTTCAAAACAAAACCAAATGAAAATTCAATCCAATCCCTTTCCAAAGATGTATGGTTTTATGTCCATGGGTGCCATGGAATGGCTATCATGACCAATTGAATAAATCGTACCCCCCAAAAAGTAGTAAAATGATGGGAAAATGATTGTTCCACCTCAACTAACCTTTATTTATTCAGGAAATGTTCAATGTGTCCTCCTTTCTGGTTCACCACTACTTGCAGTGTCTCTCTTCACATCAAAATTGCCTTGGCAATCCAATCCTGGGGCAGCTCTTCCCAAGCAGCATTGATTCGTTCCTGCAGATGAGCCACGTCTCGAATTTTAACCCCATGGTACACTTTCTGCTCCAATGCAGACCAAACGAAGTAATCGATGNTTAGCCATCTTAGCGTTAAAACTCTGAAGTGGCTTATGTTTTGGGATGCTGTGTGCAGAACAATTCAGACTTTGGAAGTAAATGCCCTGGGGCACAAATTCCAAACGGAGATGTTTTCCAATAATTTTTTTGTATCATTTAAACTGATGAACACAGAAAGCTGAAACTTTGCAGGAATGTTACTACTGAGACTTGGAGTTAAAGGAAAATGTTCAGTCTCGATATATCCCCTGGGGGAATTTTTTCGAGGAGCGATGTTTAAAAAAAATGTTGTCGCGGCGAATTGGACAGAAATGGAAAGGTGAAACTTAGCACACGTATAACTGACATGACATTACTAAGCTGAGGGAGTATTCAGCTTTCATGGGGCATCCCCTACGGGCATAGCTTTTGCGTGGGTCGGCTTTTCCAATCATGTTTTTTCACAAGCAAAAAGGGCAAGCGTATAATATTGAGACTTTGTTGGCACCGGGCAGACAGAAAAGTAGCTGGCGCATGCATCACTGAAGTGATGTTGATTTAAGGAAAAATTCAACTTTTATTTATACGTCTCCTCAGAGCACAGCTTTTGGGTGGGTCGCGTTTCCAAATACATTTTCTTCCGCCAGCAAAAAGGGGAAACGTATAAGGGGAAACTGGATGGCATAGAGTTCCCTGAGTCTACATTTCAAAAGAAAAATATTTTTATTTAAAGCCCATTATACCACTTTTTTCAGTCCCATTTTCCTCATTTTTTTTATCCAGAGGCAGAATATTTTCTTTACCCAGCTATTCATCAGGTATTCCTTTGCCAAGTTTAAACTTTCTTGCGCCCTCAGTTTTGCTGGATCAGGCAATCCGGGAATATTCGCCTTTTGCAAATCATTTGCCCTCAGCCGTTTTAACCGAAAAGTACCATTTTTTTTACCGAAATCAAACATCAGCGAACTATGTGCCCACAAAGTTTCAATATTTGCCCTTTTCGATAGTAAAAAAGCATATTTGGAAAAACCGACCCACCAAAAAACTATGCCGGAGGGAATGCTCCATGAAAGCTGAATACTCCCTCAACCCAATAATATTATTTCAACGATACGTGTGCCAAGTTTCACCTTTCAATTTCTGTCCAATTTGCCACGACATTTTTTTTATACATCGCCGCTCGGGAAATTCCCCACAAGGGATGTATCGAGACTTAATGTTTTTCTTTAACTCCTTGTCTCGGTAGTCACATTCATGCAAAGTTCCAGCTTTCCAAGTCCATCGGTTTAACTAATGTAAAGAATTATTTGGAAAGATCTTCCTTTGAAATATGTGACCCCAGGGAATTTCTTTCCAAAGTCTGAATTTTTCTGCATGCAGTATCCCAATAGGTATTTATGTACCAAGTTTCATTTTTCCACACTAGCTCAAGACGCCAGGACAATAAAAAAACACATGAAAACGTCGACCCACAAAAATAAGCTCCTAGGGCATAGATCTAAAATTTTGTATTTTTCCTGAACTCATCGTTTCAGTAGGCGAGTCCATGCCACGTTTCAGCATTCCATGTCTCCCCGTTCTATTCAAGCAAAGGGACATGGAAGGCAAGAGAAGCCAAAAAAGGCCTAGAATTGAACCCGGACCTTTCGATTACTGGTCAGATATCCTACCATTACACCTACGAAACGGGGACATAGAGTCGTATATCTCGATGACATCCTCATCCGTCACAACATATATTTAAATAAAACTGTTCCCCCCCCCCCAAAAAAAAAGAGTACCCCCAGGCATTTACCTTCAAAGTCGGATTTTTTTCTGAACTCTGCATCACATGGTACATGTGTACCAAGGTACCTTGGTACATGTGTACCAAGTTTCAAATTTCTAATATTTCTAGAACATGGTTAGAATCAGCGTCAGTCAGTCACGATCGTCTATATATATTAGATGAGCGGCAGTCGTAATCATTAGGCTCTGCTGCAGCTCCAGACTTGGCCCCGCAAGGGGCCAAGTCAGGAGAATACGCTGGATGAGGTAAAACTTCCCAGCCCAGTTCCGAAATCGTCTGGCGAATCATCTTCGCAACATGTGGACGAGTGTTGTCATGCAGGAGAACTTTGCTGTATTTGGGACGCTTTTTTTGAATTACGCCAGCCATCTTCTGAAGTCGAGCATCGTAGACGACGGCAGTCTCGGTGGTACCGGTTTGCAGGAGCTCATAGTACAACATTCCTTCTGAATCCCACCGACAGCAGAGAAGAATCTTCTCGTGGAACCCTGGTTTCGGTTCGTTTGGCGGCAATTCTCAAAATTTGTTCCCCCTTGGGCATGTACCTCCAAAGTCAGATTTTTTCTGAACTCTGCATCCCAAAAGGTACAGTTGTACCAAATTTCAGGTTTTTAACCCTTCTAGAAAATGGTTAGAATTAGCGTCAGTCAGTCCCGATCGTCTATATATATTAGATGAGCGGCAGTCGTAATCATTAGGCTCTGCTGCAGTCAAATGGGTACATCACATCAATTCATTGATTGCCAGTCTGAAATGTAGTAGCGTTAGAAAAAGCATGACTTGCCCCTTTCAAGGGAGTGTTATCTATTTGGTTTCTTGGAGGTAAAGTGCAGATGTTGATCGTTGAAACTGGTTAAAGTGTTCCTTCATGTGAAATGTCGGTACTACTGCTACAGTCAATTAGTCGTATCTCTTTAATCCCTTGAGTACCAATATCAAAGTAGGTATCACTAGAAAGGGCATAATATGCGCAGGTTGATGAAGTATTATAAGTTTGGTTTCTTTGAGGGGCAAGTACACATATTGGTCACCAACACCAGTCAAGATTTTCCGTCAATGGAAATTTTGGCACCGTTGCATTAGTCAAATAGCCGTATCTCAATGATCCGTTGAGTGACAATCTCGAATTTGGTATTCTTAGAAAAGGCATAACATGCTCTTTTGAATAAGTTATATGAATGAAGAATTCCAGAGGTGGCAAGTGTCGCATTTCAAGATTGAACATGATGAAAACGTTCGATCGCTGGAATTTCCTGATTTATCATTGGAGGATATTGTCAATAATCAATGTAAAGATCGCGCTATAGCAATTAAAATGACAACAGAATTAAGCTTTTATCTAAATTGAAAGATATATTATTGCAGAAACATGTTCACAATTCCTGTATGGGCACAGGGAGCCAAAAATTAGCGCCAGTCGAATGCATATATCAGGAGGTTGGTGGAATATGTAAAATGATCGCTGAAATGGGGTGGGATGGGATGATGGGATGGGATGCTAAGCCTATTTCATACTTTTATTCTTTTCTTTGTTATCCGTATGCGTCACGGAATGAGTTTTTGCGATTTTTAAGGCGCTTAAGGTTTCTCATATTCTCAAGAGACCTTCTTTATTGCATTATTTCGGGTGGTCAATGTATGGATTCCCAACTTTCCGTGACATACCAAGCTTAATGGCGAACGAATTTCCAAACTTTTCTCGATGCTTTGGATACCTTCATTCTTTTATCTAAAACAAGAAACCGTAAACTGTGCTCCAATGGAGGCACCCATAGACCCGGAGAGAGAGATCGTTGGGACAGCTCAGTCGGAGCATCCATGGCATAGAATTGCATGATTCGATTCGTGGGTTCCAGGAAAGCCAATTTTCTCCATCGCTTTACTTTCCCGCCTCAGGTGCCATCGAGTAGGTGGCGTTGGGGCAAAAGTGACAGTGGGGTAATTGTAATAATGCTTCGTATTTCAGGAAGTACATTAGATAAAATTACCTAATTTGTTGCCTATAACGGGCAACTCTTTGTCCTTCATATCACATATTTTGAGCTTCGAAGTTGTTGGGTAAGAACATTTTTACTCTTATTTTGTGCTACTTGATAAGAAAGTTATGAATCAAATTTTTTCTCTTCTGTTGCATTTATTTTTTATCCCAACTGATAGCGTTAAAAATGATTTAAATGTTTAATTTGCTGCCTGCTCTTAACTTCAACCTCACGATCTCGAAATTTGAACTTACAAGGGACAATACCCAAGTGATAATTTCAGATTTTCACCAAACGTTGGTCATTGAAAGGGTTCTCAAAACGAAGTCAAATGGCATCAAAACTTCTGCTGAGGAACAGGTTTAGGCTCATAACTGACTCTCTCAATTTTCAGGGATATATGATTATTATAGTCACGACCCTATTTTCTTTTACTCTAAATTTCCAAGGGAAAGTCAGATTCAGGTGATACTTGACAGAGATGTTCTTCAGTGAAGGAGGTTTTTATTCCATGCTGCAAGATGTCGCTGCATGGCTAAAAAATGACATAGCTTGTAGGCCGGTGGCGTTGCTGTCGACATCATCGCCCTCTATCGTCATGCAACGCCATCTAGCAACATGGAAAAGTACCTCCATCACTGAAGAACATATCTGTCAACTATCACCTGAATCTGACTTTCCCTTGGAAAGTTATAGTCAAATAAAATGGGGCTGTGAGAATATCAACCATGGATCACTGAAAATTGAGAGAGCCAATTATGAGCATAAACTTGCTTCTCAGCCGCAAGTTTTGGCGCCATTTGACTTCGTTTTGAGAGCCCTTTCAATGACAAAAGTTTGGTGAAAATCTAAAATTATCACTTGGGTAGTGTCCCTTGTTAAGTACTTATCAGATTATTTGCTCTGTCCAATGTTACTTTCCGCCCCATGGAAATTTTGATTGTGAGGCAATTGTAACAACCTATCGTGGGGTAAAAGTAAAAAAGCACATACAATAATTTAAGTGTTGCTAACCTTGGTACATGAGTCTACTTGTGAAAACATGTATGCATGACTGAGTATTGTCTATGGGGCTTCTTATGAGCTTCATAATAATTCGCACTTACAAAAGGAAAACTGAGAGGGGTACAAGAAGCTCTACTTCCAGGGAAGTCTTGCAAGTGCCGTAAATGCCATTAATAATA